TTATTGCTTCGATTTAGTACGAAAAATAAAGAACCAATGCTATGGATCGTTGATGTCAAGCTCTGACGTATAAAAACATGTGTGCTCCCAGTGGGTCTGGCCCTAAGATACAAAGTAATCGTTTAAAACGTGAACACGCGCGTAATTCCTCATAGAGATGAATTGGCTAATAAGTAGGTAACCTCCATGTGATCATAATTACAAATTGGGTATTGACTCATGTTGTTTGAAATTTCTATGATCTAATTCCTTGTACAACTACCTGATTTGATTAATTCTTTGTCTTCGATTTACCTAACACAGATTCTACAAATCAAAAATGTAGTATACTCGTTTTTAAACTTTGCTGTCGTACGGGTAGATATTCTCACATATATATACCTGCCAACAAATTTTTAAAAAACCAAATTTTTCCCAAAGATTTAATTTTCCTGCGAGATTAGAAATATAGAATATAGTCGACCACATTTATTATATTTTTATAATATATTGAATTCGATCTGCAATTAATTAGATGTGTCAATAGAAATTAATTTATTCACTAACCTAAATTAGTATTATTATTATTATCCGCAGTTAAAAAAAAAAGATGTCCTACGAAGATAAAAGCAAGCTTACAAAGTTCACAGAACCCCCGAGTATCTCAAACTCCATAATAAAAATGTGGGTATTACTAGAAGGGTCACAAAGGGCTGTAAAATTGAAAGCAGACTTATCCGAAGCCAAAGACTTGGACGATTTCGCACTAATTCTCAAAAGAGAATTTGAAAAGTTAAAAAAGGTTGAACCGGAAGATATCCTATTCTTAGATAGCAACAACACTCCTATTCGACCGGGCATCAACCTCAAATCCCTGTCAGGTAATTCAACAGACGAAAACCCACTAATTGTTCGTTATCCACTTTCGAATGCAAATGGTAAATGAAGTTTTTATTTTCTTGCTTTGTTTTTTCCACTTAAAATAAATACTTATTAGTTTCCATTCAAATGCAGTTGTAGTAAATTACACGTTTGGACATAAACCGGGTAAATGTAAGATACAACATACAACTGGTTCCTTAAGTTCGTTACGAGAAGCCGTCGTAGAAAAATTCAACGAGTTACAAACAGGGGAATT